TGGTTTAGTCCCTGGTTTAGTCTTGGTTTAATCCGTGGTTTAATCCTGGTTTAGTCCTGGTTTAGTCTTGGTTTAATCCCTGGTTTAGTCCTGGTTTAGTCTTGGTTTAATCCCTGGTTTAGTCCTGGTTTAGTCTTGGTTTAATCCCTGGTTTAGTCCTGGTTTAGTCTTGGTTTAATCCCTGGTTTTAATCCTGGTTTAGTTTTAGTTTAGTCCTGGTTTAGTCCCTGGTTTAGTCCTGGTTTAGTCCTGGTTTAGTCCTGCTTTAGTCCCTTGTTTAGTCCAGTTTAGTTTATTAACAATTAAAGTACAGTTTTATAATTCCTTTTTTATACTTCTCTGCAGTAGTGGAAGAAGTACTACATTTTAAAAGTAAAAGTACTAATATACTAGAGCAAAAAAATACTCAAATAAATGTAAAAGTATCACATGAAAAAAAAAAAAAATCTACGTAAGTAAAAGTATTTAAGCACCAGTGTAAAAATTTACTTAAAGCCACATGGTGTAACTTTTTCACTGAGGGTCCGTCGCCTGCTTGTTTCTATGGATACGTCACTGCTCTGCCTGGAATGTTCCGCAGTGTGACATTAAACAGATTTACTTTACTTTTATATTGATTCAGTTACAGGTGGTTTTAAAGCTCAAAAATACCAAGAAAAACAAAAACATTCTGACTGTGAGCGGCGTCGCCTCTCCACAGATCTGACCTGTAACTTTGTCTAATTTAGTCGCCGTGACGATAGAACGGTTTAAAGCCATACTGTGAAACATCCCAGACAAAGCAGTAACATCTCCATGGAGAAAAGTTACACAGTGCAGCTTTAAAGAGTAAAAAGTAAAAGTATTTTGCGTTGAGTTTCAGATCGAATAAAACTTCAAATGTCGTGATTTTGATTGAAAAATAAAATAAAATAAAATAAAAAATTCAGCCGAAAACAGATCAAATTAAATTGATTTTTTTTTTTCTCGCTGTTTTTATTTGTATATTTTTGTGTTTGATCAAATTTTGGATTGGATTGAAAATTTTGAAAGTGTTAAAAAAAATAAACACTCTGGTCTGAAAATAAAAATATACTTCACAGTGCAGCTCAAATGTTATGATGTTATGTACTTCTTATAGCAGTAGTAGTATCAGTTGTAGTAGTAGTAGTAGTATCACTTGTAGTAGTAGTAGTAGTAGTAGTAGTAGTAGTAGTAGTAGTAGTAGTAGTAGTATTGCACTACTAGTAAGTACATATACCTGCTCTCAAATGTTGTAAGGTAAAAAGTAAAAAGTATCCACTGTAAAATGTACTTAAGTAAAGTACACATACCTATTTTTTTTACTTAAGTACAATACTTTACTACTTTTAATTCATTAGATTTTTGGGTCCAGGTTTTCATTTCAGGACTAAACCAGGAATAAATTAAGACTAAATTAGGACTAAACCAGGGCCTAAACCAGGACTAAATTAAGACTAAACCAGGACTAAACCAGGACTAAACCAGGGCTAAACCAGGACTAAACCAGGACTGAACCAGGACTAAACCAGACTAAACCAGGAATAAATTAAGACTAAATTAGGACTAAACCAGGGACTCAACCAGGACTAAACCAGGACTAAATCAGGGCTAAACCAGGACTAAATCAGGACTGAACCAGGGACTAAACCAGGACTAAACCAGGACTGAACCAGAAACCAGGACTGAACCAGGTCTGAACCAGGACTGAAACCAGGACTAAACCAGGGACTAAACCAGGACTAACCAGGACTAAACAGGACTAAATCAGGGCTAAACCAGGACTAAACCAGGACTAAATTAAGACTAAACCAGGACTAAACCAGGACTAAACCAGGACTAAACCAGGGACTAAAGGTCTAAACCAGGGACTAAACCAGGACTAAACCAGGTCTAAACCAGGTCTAAACCAGGACTAAACCAGGACTTTCCAGTCACGTCCCTCTATCCCTGTACAAACATAAGTGAACAGTGCCCTCTGCTGTCAGGTCAGTGTATGACCTGTTCTGTCTCATTGGTTCTGAAGAGTTTTTTTTTCTTCTTTACAGGTTAATTAGTAAATGACCCGATCACCTCAGGATCTAATTAAACCAAAATGTCTCTGGTCTTTTTACTGCATCATGACAGATAATTAACAAATGTGGACAGAGTGGAGCCTCCTTACAAACTCATTAAACATTTTAGTAGAAGTTTCTGAAGTAAGTAGCAGTAGCAGCAGAAGTAGTAGTAGTAGTTGTTGTTATGTAGTTCTAGTAGTAGTAACAGTAATAACAGTAGCAGTAATAGCACTAGTAGTAGTAGTGGCAGCAGTAGTAGTAGTATTAGTAGTTGTAGTAGTAGCTTTATAGTAGTAGTAACAGTTGTGAAGTGGTCTTGATTTACCTCAGTGTATTATTTAAGGAACTACTACTACTACTACTACTACTACTACTACTACTACTACTACTACTACTACTACTACTACTACTACTACTGCTACTACTATTACTACTACTACTACTACTACTACTACTACTACTACTGCTTACTACTACTACTACTGCTACTACTACTACTACTGCTACTACTACTACTACTACTGCTACTACTGCTACTACTACTACTACTACTACTACTACTACTACTACTACTACTACTACTACTAGTACTACTAGTACTACTACTACTGCTACTACTACTACTACTACTACTACTACTACTACTACTACTACTACTGCTACTACTACTACTACTACTACTACTACTACTACTGCTACTACTACTACTACTACTACTACTACTACTACTGCTACTACTACTACTACTACTACTACTGCTACTACTAGCTACTACTACTACTACTACTACTACTACTACTACTACTACTACTACTACTACTGCTACTACTACTACTACTACTACTACTACTGCTACTACTACTACTACTGCTACTACTACTACTACTACTACTGCTACTACTACTACTACTACTACTACTACTACTGCTACTACTACTACTACTACTAGCTACTACTACTACTACTACTACTACTACTACTACTACTACTACTACTACTACTACTACTACTACTACTACTACTACTGCTACTACTACTACTACTACTACTACTACTGCTACTACTACTACTACTACTACTACTACTGCTACTACTACTACTACTACTACTGCTGTACTACTACTACTGCTACTACTACTACTACTTCTACTACTACTAGTACTACTACTACTACAACTTTGTACTGACAGTTACATTATAAACTATAAAAAAATGATTCTTATGTAAATATTGTGACATTAGTTCAGTTCACACTCTGTACGCTCCACACAGACAGACTTGGGTGAAGTGTCTTGCTCACTGACACACTGACACTCTGCCTGGGGGGGAAGTAGTTTCTCTGGGATTGAACCCTCGACCTCTGGCTCTGGTCCGGTCCTCGTCCTGGTTCCGATCTGCAGTGTGGCTGTTTATGTAATTGGCTCATTGACCGGTCTCTCCCTCTTCTCCCTCCTCCTCCTCTATCTGTCTTTCTCTCTTCTACCACTTCTTTAAACTCTCTTTGTTTTTTAGAAAGATAGATTTTTTTTGTATATTTAACTTTTTTTTTCAAGATCTGGGTCAAAAAGTATAATTTAAAGCTTCGAAATTACACAAATTTGACGCTTTCAGTTGTTTTATAATGTCATTTCCTCCTCAAAAACAGACCTGGACTTGTGTTTTGTTTCATTCACGTGTTTGAGTAACTCTTTATTATTAACCTGTTTACATCTCCAAAGCTCAAAATGGTCCGCTCCACCTTGTGATGTCATGAAGTGGTAGTTTTATTAACGTTTACAGTTACTTTTTAGGTTTTGGCTGCGTTTATATGAAGACGCGACGCCAGAAAACAGAAAACGCAAAAGTGGCAAAACGCGTACGCGACCTGAGCACATCTGACTAGAGTTTTGCGTCTTGGGCAGTGCAGACGGAAACGCTACGACAGAGAGTATTCAACTTTTCCACAGATTTTTGTGTTTTTAAGCCACAAAAACACCGTCACCGTCTAAACAAAAAACACTTCCGAAAAAATATTTTGTCATTTTTACCCGCAAGTGTTCTCGTGTAAACAGGCCCTTAGTTCAGTAGAAATCTGCAATTCCAGGTCTGAAACGATCCACACGATTCTAGCGAAGGTGCGTGGAGTTTAAAAACACGGTGGAGCACTTCCTGTATCACCTCATGACATCACAAGGTGGAACAGAGTGTTCTCTGTTTAAGAGAAGAGGTTTGTGAGTTCAATGTGTGAATGAAACCAAACCAAACTCCAGGTCTGTTTGTGACGAAGAACATTTTCAGATCATTTATATCGGCGTAATAGTAAAGATGCACTGTGTAACTTTTCCTGATTGGGTCCGCCACCTGCTTGTCTCCATGGAAACGCTTTGGAAAGTTCCGCAGTATGGCATTAAACTTATCTAAGTACACGTGATGTTATTGCTAAAACAAAACTACCTTGAAAAACTTGCATTCTTACTGGAAGCGGTTTCGCCTCTCCGTAGATCTTACCTCAGAACTTGACCCTGTTATGCCACCTGCTTGTCTCCATGGAAACGCTGTTGCTTTGCCTGGAAAGTCTCGCAGTGTGGCATTAAACTTTTCTAAGTATACTTATCTAAAACACAATTACCTTGAAAAACTTGCATTCTTACTGTCAGCGGTTTCGCCTCTCCGTAGATCTTACCTCGGAGCTTGACCTGGTTGTGTCGCCATGGAGACAGACAGGTTTAACGCCGTACTCTGGAACAATCAGCGGAGACGGGAAGCGAACCGGAAAAGTTACACAGTGCACCTTTTTGCGTTCACTTCGTCCTTTTCTAAAAATCATTGTCTGTTTTTGTTTACGTTTTGACCCAGGTCCAGTTTAAGAAATCGCAACTCGATAATCAGATTTTAATGATGTTGTTTGAAAAATGTACGAATTCTCTTTTAAAATAATCGTAATATTTGTGAATTTTGTTGTAGATCATCCTGAAGTGAGCATGGAGAACAAGGACGGAGAAGAGTCGCTCACGAGCCCCAAACCTCCTCTGTGTAAATACTATATCTCCAACGCCATAGAACTTCAGCAGCCTGCATGTTAAAGACTCAAATATCCAGTCAAAAAATACAAAAATGTACCTGTAACTTCTCAAAATCTCAAAAATATCCTTATGTACAGTAGATATTCTAGACGAAAAGGCCATGTTAACCAACCAAAACAGTCCTAGTGCTACTTAACTCCGAACGGAACTTCTGAATACTTTTATTTTTATTTTTATTTCGATCCAATACTGAATGTCCAACTGGAGAAGACGCTAAACTCCAGACGCCATCTTGTTTTTACATCGTTATGATTTCACAAAAAACTTTTCATCATCGCCACGACGACAACAGGAAGAAGAAAAACTCATCATCATGGAAACGTCAAAGTCAAATCGCCAAAAAAAGAAAATATAAAAAAAAAATAAAAATGGAGAAAGCCAGAGTTCACTACACCATCAAAAATCCAGGAAAGATTTAGTGTTAGGAATTATTTAACGCCCTAAAAATATTTCAAAATTCAGAAAGTTCAGAAGTTTTGTTTATCGCCATGACAACGAGAAGAAATTCAGCATGGAAATTTTAAATGGCCAAAAAAAATAAATAAATTGGAGAAAGCCAGAGTCAAACGTATCATTAAAAATTCAAAAGATTTAGTGTTATTTAGAATTATTTCACACCCTAAAAATTTCAATTCTGAAATTCTGAAAAGTTTTGTTTATCGCCATGACGAGAAGAAATTCAGCATGGAAACCATCAAATGGACAAAATTGGAAAAAAAAAAAAAAAGAAAAAAGTTGGAGTTTATATTATTAAGAATTATTGTTGGCCTTTAGTTTTTTCAAATTTTAAAAAGTATTTATTTATCGCCATGACAACAAGAAGATTTCAGTGCAAAAATGTCAAATTGACAAAATTGGAAAAAGCCAGAATAACAATATGTAGTGTTAAGAATAATTTCACGCCATTAAAATTTCAAAATGCTAAAAATTTTTCTTCATTGCCAAGAAGAAATTCAGCACTGAAACGTCAAATGGCCAGAATTGAAAAGAGACAGTTTTGCATCCAAATAAAAAAAAAAAATTAAAATAAAAATTCTTTCCAGAAAAATTTCCTCAAATATCAAATCTCCATTGTGGGAAAAAAATTATACCATACTAACAAATCTAGTCGATATTTAGTGTTAAGAATTATTTTACATTTCAGAATAAAAAAAAAAAAATCTTCATCGCCATGACAACGAGAAGAAATTAAGCATGAAGACATTAAATCGCCCAAAATAGGAAAAAGCCAGTTTTTAAAAAGTCAACAAATAATTCATGTTAAGAATTATTTCCATTAAAATTTCAAAATCCCAAAAAAACTTTTCCTCATCGCCATGACAACAACAAGAAGAAGAAATTCAGCATGGAAACGCCAAATGGCCAAAACTGGAAAGAGAGTTTTTATTCAACAAAAAAATTATTTATATTTCCATTAAAAACCTAATTCAGTAAATATTTAGTGTTAAGAAGTATTTCACGTCATTAAAATGTCAAAATTCAATAAAACTTTTCCTCATCGCCATGACGACAAGAAGAAATCAGCATGGAAACCGCCATCGGATCATCCAAATTGGAAAGAAGCCAGTTTTTTTGCATCAAATCCAACAGCTATTTATTGTTTAAAAAAAAAAGAAAGAAAATTGTGCACATTTTTTGCATGCAACGAATGAAAGAAGTTTAAAGATTTTGTAAGGTCTGCCGGCAGACTCGGAAGTTTGGGAATCCAAGCTTGAAAAAGGTTTTAAAAGTGCTAAAATCTATTAAAAAAAAAATAAAAAAAAAAATAAAAATAGTGGTGCGTTTGACAAATAAAAAGATATGACTTGAACTTAGGATCAGAGGGCTGTGTCATTCGAACTGTGCTCCCTCTGTCACCGAAATCCTTCACGTTAGGAGAAAAAAAAAAACATTTGTAGAAGAAGTGCCTAAAATCGCTCATCGAAAACATAAAAAAATCCACATTTACCGAAAAAGTTGCTGAAATTTTGGCAGTTTTTTCAGTTTCATGGACCTTGTTTGAGAAATGTTGTTAAGTGATTTTAAATAAGAAGAAATAGACAAATCAGACTAGCTGTTTGGTGTTAAGAGTGGGAACTGTTAAAAGGGGTGTCACGATTCACCAAAATTAAGTCCGAACGATAATAATAAATCAAAATTATGACTATTGATGCTTCGTACTGGCGGCGTTCTGTCTGATAAGCTTGAAAAAGGTCTAAAAACTTAAGAAAAAACACACAAAATTGAGTTAAACAGCGCATTTTCAGGAGCTTGTGTATTAAAATAAAGCTCGGATTAATGTCTAACTTGAGTAAAAAAGCTTCAGACGGAGCAGTGCCTACAGTTAGCGTCACACCGCCAGGGAATGTTGATGACGTCAGCTGCAAAATATCAATAATTTCATTTTTTTTATCATAATTTTCAGAGCTTTTTCGACACTCAGACTTCTGTAGCCGTACCTGACCTGGGGCGGATCGACAAAAAAAAAAAGTGGTTTCAAGTCTGCGTCAACGGGATCTCCAACCATTTACCCCGTCACACAACAATTTCAAACATAAATAAGGGTTTGAAAAGTGTCTTGCCCAAGTACACAACAACAGGACACACTTTTTGGCGCTGGAACTGAACCAAAAACTTTTCAATTTGAAGAAATTTTGAACCACTTTATGTTCATAATTTGTACAATTTTAGGTTCCTAGCAGCAAATATGTCCAACTAATATGTTAAAATTTTTCACATTTTAGTTTTAAATTACAAATTCTTAATAATTAAAGTCTCTGAACCTGATTTTTACAGTCTTAAAAACAAGAAAAACAGAATTTGTTAATTTGAAAAGTTTGCAGGAGTCCAAAGTTCTTCCTCACTTACCTTATGGATTCAGAGCGTCCTAATTATTTATTATGATGAGTTTATAAGCTCTTTTCAACAACTAGCATGCTAACACACGCTTCCTGATTATCTGACATTGGCCACGTTTACATGAGAGTGTTAATTCCGAATAAAAATTATTAAATTCTGAATAAAAATGAATGTAAACACTTAATTCCTAATAAAAATGATGACTTAATTCCGAAGTAAGTGGGTGGTTTATTCCGATTTTAAAGCCGAGTTAATTTAGTCCTCGATCATGTAAGCGTTTATTCTTCTTAAAAATAATGTCGGTCGTTCAGCGCATTCTCGTTGCGTCGTCCTTCGATCCGGCTCCACCAGTCCTGGCTTCGGACTTTCCTCCACGTCTCTTTGGATTTGTGAGCGGGATGCGGGAGTGGGCTGAGGTAGAGCAGCCTCACACTCACTTTGTCTTCTTCCTCTCTTCTCCGACGCTCTTCCCTTCTCCTTCTCAGCCGACAGACGTAAAGCGCGATGAGAAAATTCTCCCGCCGCTGCGCAATTATCATCGGAACGACCGCGGGAAAAGTTCGGATCGTGTTTGTGTCCGTGAAGTTGACTTAAATATGTTCACGTCTCTGTCCAACCAGAACTCTTCCCCACCCCCAGCCAGACGTTGAACGGAATTAAATAAAGTTGATTTAACGAGTTTTCCTTGTAAGCCTCAATTCAGAATTATTACTTCCATGTAAATAATTAAATTCTGAACTAAACATCATGTAAACGTGGCCAATAAAACGCTGATTTAGACAGTACACAACGGACAAAAACATTGGGTACAAGATCGTTTTATCGATATATAAAGTCGTTTAAAAGACTTTAATTATGGGCTGTCGCTTTCTCTGACTCCTCCCGGGCAAAACTAACAAGTTGGTTCACAAATAAAAGTGTGTTGCTCGAGGATACACTGGTCAGTTTAGTCTTGAGCAAATCTCTCTACCAACTGAGCCACTTTCATATTTCAAATTAAAACTTTTGTCATTTTTATTATTTTTTTAAATATAAAATTTTGGCTCAAAATCGTGACACCCCTGATTCATTTTTACCATGTTTTTGAGTAGTTTACACGAAGAATGTGAGTGAGAAAAAATTGTATTGTGAAATTGTAATGTTTGTTCAAGTGTCTTTTATTTTGAAAAGTTTTTAGAAATGTTATTTAAAACGATGAGATGTTTTGTCTGGTATGTCTGGACTCGTTCGTATTTAAAGAGGGGGTATTATACTGGTTTAAATTTGTTTGTTTTTTCGCTTTCTCCCACGTTGATGTCGTCTCTGCGTGTTTGAGTAATCTAGCGATCTCTCCCACACTATTTAAACCCACAAGTTGACGCTTCAACTCGAAAATTCTGCATAAATATACACAAACACGATACAAAATTGTGCACTACGACTACACAAACATGACAAGATTGTGTTGCGACGGCGCTCTGAAGGGGAGTGACTCAGCACAGAGAGCACATGGGAGCTGAGACAATAAAATTTAACATCGTGTCTATGTTTATGATTATGTTTTAGCAGCTAAAAGTAAAATACCCTCTCTTTAAACCAAAACATCACAATTTAGGCCTTTAGTTTTGGAAATTTTAATTTATTTTTCAAAATTTTTGGATGTAATTTCATGGTGCTTGAAATACATTGACAATCCACCATCTCTTTAACTCAAGATATTTTAAAGTTCTTTTTTTTTGTTTTTTGTTATTGTCCAAAATACATTCTAATAGTTCTGTAACGTTTTGATCGTGGAAGATGGTTTGAAAAAGTTCGATTTTGTTGTTACTTTTGGTCAAATTTTAGTCGAGAAAAATGTTGTATTTTCAAGATGAATGTAATTTATTAACCTGTGCCGCGTCCCGTGCGATTGGTCGGTTTGAATCTGTCGGCGAATCAGAGGCGAGGGTTCGGGGAAAGGGGCGGGGCTTATGCTGCGTTCATGTGGATCATTGGACGGTTTTGGAAGATTTTGGTCAAATTCATCGCTTTTTTTTGGAAAATTTTGTCATTAATAACTTTTTATTTGTAATCTCTGATGTACCAAAATGTTGTGAATGTTTAAAAAAGTAGAAAAATTTGAAGAAATTCTAATATTAAGAGTTTAAATGAGAGATTGTAGTTAACCAGCAATGTAATAATGTACGTGTTTTTTGTTATTTTCAATCCAAAAAATAACATTTAAAGCTGCTCTATGGAACTTTTCTGCTGGAGGAAGCTCTGTCACGTTCTTGTCTCCATGGAGATCTTATTGCTTTCCCCGGAATGTTCCACAGTATGTCCTCAAACTCAAAGCAATCTCGTATTTATTCATTACGTGAAGGTGTTTTATTGCCTTAAAAACACGCTTTTTTTTTCTGTGAGTGGGCTCGCTTCTCCAGTGATCTGACCCGTAACTTGGTCTCGTGGCGTCGCCTGCTTGTCTCCGTGGGAATAAGCAAGTTTAAAGCCATACTGTGGAATATTCTAGGCAAAACAATAGAATTTACATGGGGGAAAAAAGCAGTGGCATACCTTCCAGCAGAAATCCTACGTAGTTCGAATTGCATTTTGTTATAATTTTGTGATTTTTAGATTTAAGATTTAAAAATTTCATATTTGATCAAAATGTTCTGCTTTTGGACCATTTAAAGCCATACTGTGGAATATTCTAAGCACAGTAATAGAATTTACACAGAAAAAAAGCAGTGGCATACCTTCTCGCAGAAACCCTGCATAAGTCGAATTTAGTTATATTATAATTTTGTGTTTTTTAGATTTAGGATTAAAAAAAATCATATTTGATCACAATTTTCTTCCGAATCAGACCATTTAAAGCCATACTATGGAATATTCTACGCAAAATAATAGAATTTATATGGAAAAAACACAGTGGCATACCTTCCAGCAGAAATCCTACATAGTCCAAATTGAGTTATGGTATAATTTTGTGTTTTTTAGATTAAAGATTTAAAAATTTCATAATATTAGATCACAATTTTCTTCTTTCGGACCATTGAAACGACATGAACGCCTCGCGTATCCCGTTAAATGTACAGCCTCTTCTTCCTCGCTTCTGATTGGCCCAAACCGATCACATGACGCAGCGACGCGTGCGCAGTTATAGCATTGTGTTGTTGGAAAAAAAATGTTAATTGTATAGAAAACATTTTACCAAAAAAATCTCTATAAAAGTTAAAAAAAGATGTAATTTTCACTGTAGTATGACGATAATGGGTATTTTTGTAAATGATGTAACCAGGTAGACTGTAAAAAAGCAATTTCACTTACGAATATTTTCTTTATAGCGGAAAACATCTGTACTTGTAACACTAATAGATTTCAAATGTGGATGTTACATAGTTTATATATATATGGATATTACAGATAATATTAAGACGAAATCATTTAAAAATTATATGGCCTTTTTTTGGTTCCACCGCTTCGTTCACTGTATCACGAAAAAGACTTGCACTTTTGTATCGAAACGGGACATTTCGAAGGAGCTGTATGTACGATTTTTGAGTTTAAATTTCGAAAATATGACTTGAAAGTGTTAAAATCGAATATAACTTTTACTGATGATGATTGTAATGCAGATTTATTCTTAATTATATAAAAAATTGGGCTTTTGGACGATTTATTTATGTTGTAATTTGGTGTTTTGGTTCAAGACGATCGGATCGGTCGTTAGTTAAACCCCCGACCTTTACAGCTCCGTGAAGGAATTCTGGACATTTTGAGCTTTCACTTTCATTCATTCATTCATTTATTCATTCTTTCATTCTGCAAGTGTGATTATAGAAACTTTTTTACAAATACATACAGCTCCTTTAAGTTTTTATGGTCTACTTTTATGATTCTTCATGTTCAGTTTGCAAAAATGGGTTTACAAATCTCTAAATAACAACTTAAGCTTTTTATTTTTGATTTCGTTATTCTGAAAAACATAGATATCATAATAACGAATCAGAAAATCTTTTATGGAGCTTCTGTGGACATTTCTGAAACTGTTATGTTGACAATTACATCAAATTCGGATAAAAATGCAGAATTTCTATTTCAAATTCTTGGTATTAATATAATTGGGAAAACCTGAACAATAATAATATGGGTTAAAATTATAATTGCCTATATCCTTGATTAGATATATATACACCCAATACACATAAATATAGAAATTGCGTTTAAAAACTCATGTGAATAGGCTCTTTTCACGCTTAACTTACCCAGAAGACATTTGGAAATATGCCGATGACGACTGGGCACGAGATAAATTATTTATAAAAGGTAGATGAAGAAAACCGGGACATTTTGTCAGACGAAATAGTCCAAAAGAACTCAACAGAGTCCAACAAAAGAACCCAACAGAATCCAACAAAAGAACCTAACAGAGCCAACAAAAAAAAAACAGATCCCAAAAGAACCCAACAAAGAACCTAACAGAGCCCAAAAGAACCCAACAGTGGCCAAAATAACACAAAAGAACCAAACAGAGCCCAACAAAAAAAAACAACAGATCCCAAAAGAACCCAACAAATGAACCTAACAGAGGCCAACAAAAAACCCCAGCAGAACCCAACCAAAGAACCCAATAGAGCCCAAAAGAACCCAACCAAGCCCAACAAAAAAAACCAACAGAGCCCAACAGAAGAACCCAACAGAGTTCAACAAAAGAGCCCAACAAAAGAACCCAACATAGCGAAACAAAGGAACCCATCAGAGCCCACCAAAATACCCCAAAAGAATGCAACAGAGCCCAACAAAAGAACCCAACAGAGTCCAAAATAACCCAACAAAATAAGCCAACAGAACCCAAAAGGACCCCAACAGAGTCCAACAAAAGAACCCAACAGAGTCCAAAATAACCCAACAAAAGAACCCAACAGAACCCAAAAGGACCCCAACAGAGTCCAACGAAAGAACCCAACAGAGTCTAACAAAACAGCCCAACAGAGCCCAAAATAACCCAACAAAAGAACCCAACAGAGCCCAAAAGAACCCAACAAATGAACCTAAGAGAGGCCAACAAAAGAACCCAACAGAACCCAACCAAAGAACCCAATAGAGCCCAAAAGAACCCAACAAAAGATCCTAAAAGAACCCAACCAAGCCCAACAAAAAAACCCAACAGAGCCCAAAATAACCCAACAAAACAACCCAATCGAGCCTAAAACCCTACAAAATAACTCAAAAAAGACCCCAACAGAGCCCAAATGACCCAAAAAAATCCAACAAAAGAATCCAAAAGAGCCTAAAAGAACCCAACGTTGCCCAAAAGAACAAACAGGAAGTCGTCATGTGCATGTTTCCGAACATCTTCCGGTGTTGTGATGTAAACTTGAGTCGAATCCACTGCTACCATTTCATGTTTTCTTATGTATGAATTTGTTTTTCTCTGTCTCGTACCCAAAGTGTCCATCACAAACCCATAATAATTAAAATATACGGTAATAATGAACAGAATCATAACCGTAGACCTTAAAACAACCCGATAATATTTCATTCATAAATATTACTTACAACTCGCTGCATGGATAGTTACTTTATTACTTAAAAAACCTTGAATGTTTATTGAAAAAATGTACGACTCGAGCCTCTTATTTGACCCATTTTAATTTAAACAAAAGACTTTTTAACGCGTGGATCTGTTTGACCGATGGTTCAGATGTAAAAGCACTTTTGGAACAACTTTGCCTTATCTCAGTGCGGAAAAACGGTTGAAAAAGCTCTTAAGAAAAGACTTGAATGAAAAGTTTTAACTGCAAATCCGAGTTTTAAGTTCATTTCGGTTCGTTTTAAAGAGAAGGTGTTACGCCAAATCGACTTTTTGGAGCTTAAATACGCGAAAACTTGTAAACTACGACTTCACAAACCTGACACGTTTAGTTCAGAGCATTTTCAGGACAATAAAAGGTAAAACGGTGATCGAAATAAGTCGTAAATGTCCTGAAAAAAGCGTAAATTCCTTCTCTTTAAGCTCGATTTAAGCTGCAGTCTCTGGTTTCTGGTTCTGTCTCATTGCCTTATGTACAATGGACCTGTAATTTGCAGCTTTAGACACCAGAGGGCACCATAAAATCAAGACTGCTAGTGCCATTTATGTTTGTTTTTTTTGTTTATTTCCCCCCAAAATTGAAAAATCACTGAACTCGTTGTAATCATTTAATGTGTTTTTGCATATACTTTGTGCTCTTTTATGTTCTATAGTCGAATGTTTTGGTTAAAGCAGGATAGTGTAAGATTTATTGAAAGAGAAAAATAAAAATAAAGAAATTAAAAATGGGTTTTGTCTCGTTTTTTGATGCTTAGGGAGGTTAAAAGTATCGGAAATAAGATTCTAATGAGACTCGATGAGCAGGTTTCGATACTAAAAAATGTATTTAGTAAAATTTATGAGGTGGGACCAAGTCGTCATGTTTTGCTCAAGTCTCAAGTTTTTAACCTGAAGTCCGAGTCAAGTCCCAAGACAAATACAGGTAAGTCCAAGTCGAGTCTCGAGTCACTGACCCGTAAGTCCAAGTCAAGTCCAAATCGTCTGCTTTGAGCTTCAAGTCATTTCAAGTCTCTAAACCAAAAAGTACCTGTGACAAAGTGGGTTTTTGCCCCATTTTAAACTCCCATTTGTTTAATTTCGCATTTTGTCATTCTCAATACCCCAACACAGTTACGATAAGTCTTGGTTCTTTTTGTTAATTATCACATCAGACATTTTTAAAACCTTGGAGGAGGTCGTGGGCTGGACCATGTGGAGGGGAAAACTGGTTCAAGGATTTGGTTTTATAGTTATTTTCAGCACAGGGGTACTTCCTGCTGGGCGGAGTTTAAAAGCAGGTGTCATGAATTGGGGGAGAGTTTTCTGTGCAGGTTGTTTGGCGGGTTTTGATTTGAGTCACTTATTTTCTGTTTATTTGTACTTTCGTTGGCGTTAAAGGTTGTATGGAGGATTTTTTTTTTTGTTTCAAATTGTCAGTGAAAGTTTAAAATACCATTACAGAGACGCAGCAGCTTTGTAATTACGATGACCAAAAAAAAAAAGAATGAAAATTTATCAACTGTGGACGTGTTGAGGCCAGATAAACATCAGCCAATAGAAAACGAGGCTGCCTCTTTACCTATTGGCTGTCAGGTCATCAATCAAACTCCCTACGTTTCTAGTGTAATTGACTCGTCGGGATGCGGGGATCACGTGGTTTATGCAGCGGTTCTTAGAGGCTTTTTCAAACTGTCACTTCCTCACAAAGTTTGTTGCGATGGCGGACGAGAATCCACGACCAGTTCGCCGCAAAAGAAAGTCGGTTCTTGAGGTCGCTGAAAGAAGAAGAGAAGAAGGGGAAAAGGAGCGAAGACAAACTGAGGTGATTCTTGGAGATTCCTTCCAGCGATTGCGCGAGTGAAGCGGACGAAGGGTCTAAAAACTCGCATGCACAACATTTGTAAAAGAACTGTCGCTGTATTTCTCTTCCCTTAAAAAAAATCCTCTATACAACCTTTAACTCCAGAAGTCTATTTTAAAATAAATTTTGTCTAGTTAAAGACACTTTTTTTGTTTTCATCTGCCTCCTGCTTTGGCCAGCTTCCCCTCAGTACCAAATATAGTTAATAAATATAGATTTTTTGCAATTTATATGAATTTTAAAATAAATTGTACTTAAAAACTCATAATATATTTGTATATGAGCATTTATAGAGTTTATAAGAGTTGTAGAATTTTATTGTTTTTGTTAATTTTTCCTTTTCAAATGTCTTGACAAGAACTGAGTGTGAATCATTACAGTCAGAACAGAAAGAATTCAGATTTAAAAGTGCTTCTCAAGTCCAAGTCGAGTCCCAGGTCTTAGTCCATTTTATCAAGTCAAGTCTCAACTCCTAAAAATAGTGACTCAAGTCTGACTCGAGTCCAAGTCAAGATTTGCAAGTTCCCACCTCTGGTTTCTTTATAACTTTATTCAGTTGCAAGTGTTTTTATTGCCAAGGTAAAACTGATTGACTCATTTTTATTTCGAGTTTGTGCCAAGAGAGAAACAATAATCATACACGTACCACATACACATTATAAACAACAGAAAAGGAAGAAGAAAAACTCATATTAACCCACTTCTGTTCATGACATAGTTTCAAAAATGATGTGGTTGCTTCTGTAATTGAAATTGAAATCCGTGCATCTTTCCTTCGAGTGGGCTCGCCTCTCCACAGAGCTGATCTCTAACATGACCTGTTGGCTTCATCTTCATCTGCTCGTCGCCTCAGTGAAAAATGAATAACATCGCCATGGAGACAAGCAGAAAAGGTACAACGTGAATCTCTAAACTGTATGCAGGTTTAACAAATCGAAGCAAATCAGTCCAGTGTTGTAAATGCACCAGCAGGAGGCGCAAGAACTCCACCTGTTTGCACGTGAGGAGGTAAGAGGTTTAAATCAGACTCAAAACAATAGCTGCTGGTACAAGGGTGACCAGAATTTCAAAATAAACACTTTTTTGGCCGTTGGTAATAATAAAATAGTGAATCGAGGGCATAATTAAAGGTTGTATGGAGGATTTTATTTTTAGTTTCAAATTGTCAATGAAAGTTTAAAATACCATTACAGAGACGAAGCAGCTTTGTAATTATGATGAACAAAAAAAAACTATGAAAATCTATCAACTGTGGACGTAGTGAGACAAGATAAACATCAGCCAATAGAAAACGAGACTCCCTCATTTCCTATTGGCTGTTAGGTCGTCAATCAAACTCCCTACGTTTCTAGTGTAACGGACTCGCCGGCGCGCGGGGATTACGTGGTTTATGCGGCGGTTCTTAGAGGCTTTTTCAAACTGTCGCTTCCTCACAATTCGCACAAAGTCTGTTGCGGCGGCGGACGAGAATCCACGACCGGTTCGCCGCAAAAGAAAGTCCGTTTTTGAGATCGCTGAAAGAAGAAGAGAAGAAGGAGAAAAGGAGCGAAGACAAACCAAGGTGATTCTTGGAGATTCCTTCCAGCGACGGCGCGACTGAAGCAGACGAAGGGTCTAAAAACTGACGCGTCGGTCACTAAATTATTTCTAGACAGGAAACTTCAACAGTGATTCTGAACACGAACTTAATGTAAACAAGCCTGATTTCTAGAGTAAAAAAGGACTGTCGCTGTATTTCTCTTTCCTTAAAAAATCCTCTATACAACCTTTAAGAAAAACTGTTGTGCAGAGACCATTTCTGACAAATATGTGAGTCAGTATAATCACATTTTCTTGGTGTTTTGGTCATTTTTAAGCAGATTTTTTGTGTTTTGCCTAAACAAATTACAAAGTATGCCTCTCTTTATTTTCTCTTTCTGTCAAATTGGTCAAAAATATGGACACGTGGGACATTTCTTGATTTCAGATTTATCCAAAACCAGTGATTTGTCCCAGTTTATACAAGAAATGTCCGAGATGTCCCTATTTTTTCACCTATTTTATATCTGCCAACATTAAAAAGAGATTAAAAAGATTTGTTTCGGTAAAAATACAAAAAAATCTGCTTAAAAAAACAACCAAAACACAAAAAAATGTGATTATACTGACTAACGTGTGTAACAGTTTTCCTTAATGAGACGCTTGATTCACAATTTTATTATTACCGATGACCTTATTTTGAAAATCTGGTCATCCTTAAGTTAAATGGACTTTAAAAACACAGAGAAGCTTTTTTCAATCGCCACCTGATGATGTCATAAGGTGGGAGCAAGCATTGAGAGCTCTTGAGAGGCAAAGACAAACTAAATACACAAGATTATAACGGTGAATTAAACAAAACACAAAAACTCCAGCGGGTTGGTTTTTGGTTTTTTGTTTTTTGATAAAGAAACGTGAGGTTTTATAAAAGTTTTGCCTAATATGGTGGTTTTGTTTTTTTGTTTTTTTTTTTAAATCCAGTTTATTTTCCATTAAGTCAAAAGACAAAAATGTAACGTCGCTGAACACAGGAAACACTGATGTAAACAAACTATTAACATGTTCACGACGCTGGGAACCAGATGTGAACGTCACCGAACAAACACACACACACACACACACACACACACTATAGACTGAGGTAAACACTGAGACTAAAACTAATATTGATTTGGAGCACTTCCTGTTTGTACAAGAGGATTTACAATTATAAGATGAATATAAAATGAAAAGAGCTTTGAATAAAATAATATCTGCATTTGGAGTAGTAGTTAGTGCCTGGTTTAGTCCCGGTTTAGACCTCGATTTTGGCCCATGTTTAGTTCTAGTTTTGTCCCTGGTTTAGCTGTGATTTAGACCTGGTTTTTCTTGAATTAGAACTTGGTTTAGTCCCTGGTTTAGTCCTGGTTTAGTCCCATGTTTAGTCCTGGTTTAACCCTTGATTTGTCCTGGTTTAGTCCTGATTTAGACCTCTGTTTAGTCCTGGTTTAGACCTTGATTTTGGCCCATGTTTAGTCCTTGGTTTAGCCCTGATTCTGTTCCGTGTTTAGTCCTGGTTTAGCTCTGATTTAGACCTGGTTTAGGCCTGTTTTTTCTTGAATTAGAACTCGGTTTAGTCCCTGGTTTAGTCCCGGTTTTATCCCACGTTTAGTCCTGGTTTAGTCCCATGTTTAGTCCTGGTTTAACCCTTGATTTGTCCTGGTTTAGTCCTGATTTAGACCTCTGTTTAGTCCTGGTTTAGACCTTGATTTTGGCCCATGTTTAGTCCTGGTTTAGCTCTGATTTAGACCTGGTTTAGGCCTGTTTTTTCTTGAATTAGAACTCAGTTTAGTCCCTGGTTTAGTCCTGGTTTTATCCCACGTTTAGTCCTGGTTTTGTCCTGGTTTAGACCTGGTTTAGTCGTAGTTTAGTCCAGGTTTAGTCCCATGTTTAGTCCTGGTTTAACCCTTGATTTGTCCTGGTTTAGTCCTGATTTAGACCTCCGTTTAGTCCCTAGTTTAGCCCTGATTTTGTCCCGTGTTTAGTCCCGGTTTAGTCCTGATTAAGACCTTGGATTAGTCCCTGGTTTAGTCCAGATTTAGACCTGGTTTAGTCCTTGGTTTAGACCTGGTTTAGTCCTTGGTTTAGTCCCTGGTTTAGTCCTGGATTAGTCCTAGTTTTGTCCCATGTTTCGTCCTGGTTTACTCCTGATTTAGACTTTGGTTTAGTCCTAGTTCAGACCTGGTTTTGTTCTGATTTAGTCCTGGTTTAGTCCATGAAAGAAAATCTCTAAAACTATGATTACCACATGACATCACGAGGTGGAACAGAGTGTTTTCTGTTTGAGAGAAGAACTCAAAACACGAGTCCAGGTTTGTTTGTGACGAGGAAACTACAACAGAACACAGATCAGAAAAGAGTTTATTATCTATTTATGAATTTAATCGAAATAATATCTATAAAAACGTACATTTTTCATTCTGTGTTTGACTATTTTAGTTTTGTTTAGTTTCAGCTGCACTAAAAATAGAAAACTCCACACTGGAAATATCTACGCGACAATAATTTAAGAACACAATTATTTATTTATTTGTCTCTTACATAAACTGGTCCAAGTGTTATTTATAAACACCATCAATGTTCTTACGTCGTTTACGTCTCATTTAATCACCCGATCACGAGCACTAATCAAAAGAAGAGGAGGAGACGAGGGGAGGAGAGGCGTGGATTCAAGTAAAAACCCTGTCCTGGTTTAGTCCTGGTTTAGTCCTGGTTTAGACCTGGTTTAGTCCTGGTTTTAGTTCAGGTTTAGTCCTGGTTTAGTCCTGGTTTAGACCTGGTTTAGTCCTGGTTTAGTCCTGGTTTAGACCTGGTTTAGTCCCATGTTCAGTCCTGGATTAGTCCTGGTTTAGACCTCGGTTTTGTCCTGGTTTAGTCCCTGGATTAGTCCTGGTTTAGTCCTGGTTTATTCCAGGTTTAGTCCCATGTTCAGTCCTGGATTAGTCCTGGTTTAGTCCAGGTTTAGTCCAGGTTTAGACCTGGTTTAAGTCCTGTTTAGTCCTGGTTTAGTTCTGGTTTAGTCCTGGTTTAGTCCCAGGTTTAGTCCAGGTTTAGACATGGTTTAGTCCTGGTTTAGTCTCTGGATTAGTCCTGGTTTAGTCCTGGTTTAGACCTGGTTTTAGTCCTGGTTTAGTCCTGGTTTAGACCTGGTTTAGTCCTGTTTAGTACCTGGTTATCCTGGTTTAGTCCTGGTTTATTCCAGGTTTAGTCCCATGTTCAGTCCTGGATTAGTCCTGGTTTAGTCCCAGGTTTAGTCCAGGTTTAGACCTGGTTTAATCTCATGTTTAGTCCTGGTTTAGTTCTGGTTTAGTCCTGGTTTAGTCCCAGGTTTAGTCCTTGTTTAGACATGGTTTAGTCCTGGTTTAGTCCTGGTTTAGACCCGGTTTAGACCTGGTTTAGTCCTTGTTTAGTCCTGTTTTAGACTTTGGTTTAGACCTGGTTTAATCTCATGTTTAGTCCTGGTTTAGTTCTGGTTTAGTCCTGGTTTAGTTCATGAAAGAAAGTCTCTAAAACTATTATTACCACATGACGTCACGAGGTGGAACAGAGTGTTTTTTGCTTGAGAGAAGAACTCAGATAGAAATTAATTAATTAATTAATTAATTAATTAAATTAAAAACTGTTTTGTTTTGCATCAGCTGCACTAAAAACAGGAAACTCCACGCTGGAAACATCTACGTAACAATAATGATCTATTTCTGTTTTACGCAAACTGGTTGTAAACGTCCTTAAATATTCTTACGTCGTTTACGTCTTATTTAATCGCCCGATCACGTGCACTAATCACAGTTCATTTTCCGCTCTGTTTTCTCTTTTTTTATTCCAGGAAATACCGAGTTTCATCCCCAGAATCTGAAGAAGAAGAAGAAGAAGAGGAGGAGGAGGAGGCGGCCGAGGCGAGCGGAGGAGAGGCGTGGATTCGCGCAGACAGCCCCTTGCGTCTCCCATTTTTTTGTTTTTTTTACGCATTTAAACCCTCATTTCGCGTTGGCAGCCTTTGTTTTCGCGTGTCAACTCGCAGCTTTCACGTAAATGGGGAAGAGTGTCGCGAGGAGACAATGCGTACCCGCGCGTGTAGCTAATTTGACAATGGTTAGCTTGTGCGTAACGCGATGTGCGGCACCGCCGAGTCCGTGAACGGCGCGTTTTTGTGCGTTATGGACGGTCTGCCTTCGAGATAGCGTGGGAATCTGATCGTAAACATGCTTCGTGCGCGGTTTTCCCCGGATCAAGACGCGCGTAAAGACTGATTTTTTCGCGTTTTGGACATGCGGGAGTATAAAGTGGTGGTTCTGGGGAGCGGCGGAGTTGGAAAATCGGCGCTGACGGTTCAGTTCGTCACCGGGACTTTCATAGAGAAGTACGACCCGACGATAGAGGATTTTTACCGGAAGGAGATCGAGGTGGACTCGTCCCCGTCGGTGCTGGAGATCCTGGACACGGCGGGCACGGAGCAGTTCGCGTCCATGCGGGATTTGTACATCAGGAACGGCCAAGGGTTCATCCTGGTCTACAGCCTCGTGAATCAGCAAAGTTTTCAAGACATCAAACCCATGAGAGACCAGATCATACGAGTCAAAAGGTGATTTACAAACAAAAAAACAAAAAAACACCACTTTATTTATGGTTACACTCATTAACATCCAACTACCTGTGAATTATCACAGTTGTAGATGATTAATTTGTCATTAATTAGTATTTATTCAGCCTTATGAACTAACGAGATCCAAAATATCGTGGTATCGTCTCGTCAAAAGTCTCACAATAATATCGTGGACTGTCACAATATATCAAACTACAAGTGCTTTGATTAAATTTATGGTTTTATAGTCGTAACAACTTATACACATCTGGAACTACATTTCCCATGATTCATTTCAGAGCAAACATGAAGAAATATGGTTTTTACTTGAATTCTTGGGATTACGACGGAAATAATTTACAAAATCTTGTCAAAGTCCCATGTTTAGTCCTGGTTTAGTCCTGGTTTAGTCCTGGTTTAGTCCTTGGTTTAGTCCTTGGTTTAGTCTGGTTTAGTCCCAAATTTCATTCTGAATTAGCCCTGGTTTTGTCCCAACTTTAGTCCTGGTTTAGACCTGATTTAGACCGTAAGTCCGCATTGTTTAGCCTGGTTAGAAGATAGGATTAGATCTGGTTATCTCATGTAACCCAGGGATTGTATTAAATTACGCCAGTTTAGTCCTGTTTACCGATTAGACGGTTTAGTCCGGTGACTTTAGCCCAGGTTTTAATGTCAGCCTGTTTAGTCCCAGTTTATTTTATGGTAACACAACTTCTTAACACCAACTCCCTGTGAATCATAGCGAACAGTTGAATAGACGTTGTTAGTGTTGACCTCTTATAAATCACGTAGTGTATTCCAGTATCAATCCGAGATGACAGGATTGACTACAATATTACACAAAGGGACCTAATAATCACCTTAAGTAAGTATTTCATTAACTGCAACATAAAATTAACCAATCGAAGCAGTACTTTCTGTTCTACTACAGTCGATAAAACAACATTCTTATTTGTACTAAACAAAATCTTTTATTATGAATCGATCAATCATCAACAAAAATGGCCTTTAGAATTCGAAATTATTATGCCAGAAGATACAAAGTAGAGATGGTAAGACGATATAAATAACGACCAAAATAGTAAAACATCTCAATACAAATATATATTTGTGATATTTTGTGGAGGTTATACATAAAACTCGGTTAATAACCTGGCTTTTCTTTTTTCGCTCTCTTAAACATCGCGGACAAAAAGTAGTTTAATCACAAATGAAACTGAACTAAAAGTGTGTACAACTGATAATTGTATCTTGCTGTCGGTCTGCACCTATGGAAATTGGAGCAAATGGATGTCATATGGTCCTGTGTTAGAGTGTATTCGTTCCTCTATGCTTAATTTATTAGAGACCATATCTTAATGACATGCATCAATTTTAAACACTTAATGGCACATAGCACCGACAACTGTACGACAACGTACTCCTGGATTTGTAATTTATATTTTTTTTGTTGGATGGATTACGAAGTAACATACATTCACGCGTACCAGTAACTGACTAACAAGAGCACTGAAGGTAGAATACAGTCTGCCACAATCGCTGTATGTGGCGCTGTACATGATGATTGAATATCGTAGAAACTGAAATACTGCCAGGATCCCAACGTCACCTGTATTTTTATAACTTGGATGCAGGCTAGATTTATAGTATCTTCTATTAAGACTGTAGATAAAATCTCACCAAGAAAGTATAGACTGTTTTGTAAAATCAATGAAATCTCGAATACATTAACGATTTACGTTTTGTATGCCAGTAAAATATTAGAGTATGAGAATCATTACACAGAATGAATTGTGGTCTCGGAATGTAATTCATCAACGAGAGTTGTCAATTACTCATAGCAGAGCTCTGTAGTGACGACACACCTAGTCACATTTTCGAGCAAAGGTTCTTGTTGTGTACAAATTAACTTGAACGTTTATCCAATAGAAACCGTGTTCGTGTTGAAGGGCTTCTCTGTGAAACTTAAAGCAAAAACGAGTCTTAACTGAATGTGAAGTATCAGGTTTCTGAAACTGACCACGCTGCCATGGCCATGCGTCTGCCGTTGCCGCCGTCTTTTGCATTCATATTGTATCTGTGTTGAGGCTTGCAAACCATTGTAAGTGAGATTCTTCACGTCCCAAACAACTATAAGCCTTAGATTGCTGATTAACGATATGTCCATGTTCGAGATTAAGAAATCAGTGCTGTCCTGTAAGTGGTCGAACCTGCAGACACACGCCTGCTATGGAGTCTCACGCAAAGGTTTAAATCATGACCGACTCCAACATGCTGAAAAAAGCCAGCGATCAGAATGGACTCACCATTGCAAACACGAACCGCCCTTCCTGTGACAAACAGCTCTCCCGTGGAGAGAACACCCCGCCTCGGTTCTGCAGAGTCCAAGGAAACTACCCCCAGCATCTGTCACGGACAGGGAGACAGCACGGCCTACCAATGACGCACGGCAGCCTACGAACCACCCCTCCCTTGTACACGGATGAGAGAAACACTGCCCTCTGTCAAACAGGGAGATCGCGAGCGCCCCCTGCTGTTCCACCAGAGAGATACACCCTCTCTCGTAAGGACAAGGAGAACACCTCGGCTGACCGTGAGTCATCGAGAGACCCAGAGAGCGATACCACCGTCGCACGCGAGGAAAAACACTCCCTCTGTCCACAGAGAGAACAACTCCACTCCTTGTCACAGAGAACCCACACGCTCCTCTCGCTCCACAGAGGACGGAGAAAACCCACACCCCTCTGTCGCAGAGAGAACACTCCCTCTGTCAGCAGCCAGTAGCCGCAACAGCCTGCTCCCTACTGACGCAGGGAGAACACCACACTCTGATCACGAGCCAGGAGACAACCACACCTACTGTCACACCGGTACGTACACCCCTCTTGTCAGCAATAGGCAACAGCCCCTCCCTGTTGATCGCAGACCGAGCACACACCTACACAGTCCACCAGAGAGAAGCACCCGCCTCTAGCTCGAACGCAGAGGAGATCAGCCTTCCTTCTGTCTGCAGAAGAGAATCAACCCCTGCTGAAGAGGGGACACACCCGCTACTGTCACTAGCAGAGACAGCCCCTCTTCAAAGGTAGTATACCACCCCTCTGTTCACAGAAAGAGAGGACCAGCAAACCCGTCTCCTGTACACAGGTGAGAAAGCCCAACCACCACCTACCGTCCGCTCGCCGAGTAGCAAAAACCCCCTCTGTTCGCAGAGACGTACGCAACAGCGCGCTCTGTCGTCGCAAGAGAGAGAGCACCCACCTCTGTCTCGCGAGGGACGGAGACACCCTCTCATGTCGCAGGCACGAGACACACCGCCCTAACAATCCGTCGACTAGATGGACGAAAACACACTCCTCTATGCTCGCCAAGAGAAGAACACCCTCTGCTGCACAGAGAGAAACGACATCTGTCTGCGAGAGATGACCAACATCCCCGCCGCGCATCGTAGCCAGAGCAGAATTCACCCCCCTCTATGTTACGCAGAGTGAGAAACACTGCGAGTCTCGCCTATCCGCTCACAGGACCAGAGCCGAGCACACATCCTAATCACGAGAAGAGACACCCCCTCATGATCGCGATGAGAGAAAAACGCCACCGTGTGTCTGCAGTAAAAAGAAGTACGACCCCTTCGTCACAGGAGGATACAACCCACACACTCTGTCACAAGAGGAAAGAAAACTGCGCACACTCCGCTAGGCAGGGAGAACACCGTCTGGCCTCGGTCAGAGATGAGAGAACCACCCACCTCTGTGCGCAGACAGAACACTCTCTGACGCAGAAGAACTACCCCTGCCGTCGCCAGAGAGGACACCCCTCTTGTCGCGAGCGAGGAGACGAGAGCACCCCCCTCCTTCCGCCTCTCGCACTGAGAGAACTACCCTCCTCTTGACGCAACTGAGAGAACATCCCTCTGTCGCATGCGGAGCATATCACCTTCCCTCTCGTCGACGAGAGAACATCCCCCTACGTTCTGCACCGCATGAGGAACCCGCCATCGTGTCAACAGAGAGAACAACACCCTCCTGTCGGTCAAGAAGAACTCACCCCTGCGGAATCTGCAAAGAGGAACAACCGCCTGCGATCCAGGGAAGAAAGCCCCTCTGGGTACGAAGGAGTGGAAACACCTGGCCTGATTTATGCTGCAGGTTGCAGCGAGGAGAGACGACCCGCCTAAAACACCATGCTGTCAACACGAGAGAAAACACCCGACGCGTCTACTATACCTGAGCAGATGAGAATCCACCACCGTCTGTCGCAGGGAGACACTCCCTCTGTCGACCGATGGGTAGAACAACCACACCCCTCTTGTCGCAGGAAGAACACCTCTCACACTCTAACGCACCGAGAAGATATAGCGGCGACTCTCGATTCATGCAGAGGAGAACCCCCGTCTGAGTCCAGGGATGTAATTCCACAAGCGCTCCTGCCAGGTCTGCTAGAGAAGAAATCACCCTCTCTGTCACAGGTGTAGAGATAGCACACCGCTCTCGTAAGTCACGCCAGAGGAGAGAACACCAACATACTGGTCACTAGAGAGAACACTCTCCTCTGTCTTACAGAGAGAACATCCCCTATGAATAGACAGATGATGAAACTACTCCCTCACTAGTTAATGTATGGAAAAGAGAGAGAGATATCATCCCTCAACGTCCGCAAGTAAAGAAACCCTCTCTGTTCGCATGGGTACAACCACCCCTCCTGACTCAAAAAGCAAAAAAACCTCCTGTCCAGCCGCTACGAGCGAGACACCCTCTGAATCGGCAGCAGAGAAACACCTCGTCTGTCGCAAGGGAGGAACAAACTCCCTATAATCATGGTCGCAGAGAGATACTCCCCTCCTGTCACATGAGGAAGAACTATCACCCCTACTGTCATAACAGCAGTAGAATACCCCTCAATCGCTGAGAGAGAACACCCCTCTGATCCACGCAAAGGAGACCAAGGCGCAGCTCACTGCCGCAGGAAGACCACACCCTCTGTAAGCAGGCATGAACACC